AAGCACTGGCATCTGATGATTATTGTATGAATATGATGTAGTTATGACCCGTGGAAGCTCGATCTTATGAGCTCTAAGTTTGACATAATGTCACATGTTCCCCTCACAGGTGCTAACAGGTACAATATGGAGTCTGAGCGAAATGATGGTGGAGCCACAGGGCGCGGAATATATGCACCGTTGCTTTTCTCCTCGCATGTTTCTCTGATGAATTCCAAACCGGGTGCGATGACTTCGGTTTAAGGCTTTAACCAATCACAGCTCGGTGCGCGTTGCCTGCGCTGAGAGGCGGCGGCCTACTATTGGCCGAGGTGTTTTTTTCTCTGAAGGGGCGTATTTTTCAAGCCATCTTGACTGAATATTTAGCCTCATCCAAGGTCCATTAATTCGATATCTTCGGGATTTTGCTGCCCACAAGTTGACCACCGGCATCATTTGAAAGGTGGAAATCACAGCCATGACACCGACTCGACTCCGGGTGTGTGGCCGGAGTCAAGGCGGAGGAGTGGGGCGCTGAAGATGACGCCGTCGCTCCCGAAATGACCGGCTAGCTAAGCTAACGGCTAGCATGTCCGCCTCGGCTGTCGCGTCTCTCTAGCTGACATTAAGCTAAGTGCAGGAGTTCACTTCGCCACTCGCACCGCCGAGGACCGTGTCACAAGGTAAAAACCACTCTGGTGTTTTATTGTCACTTCAGCTTTGCTCGGGAATTCAGCCGTTTTGTTTCACGACTTCAGTTTGTCCTGTCCGACCGAGTAACGTTATCACATCGGCCGGAGACCGTCGTCTTTTCGCAGGACTCACAGCACAAAGCAAAGCCCGACACGCTGCACATCGTCAGTGCGGGGACCTGACGTGTATGTGCGGTTAATATCTGCGCGGGGTTCACCGTGCACAGTGTGGAGCTGCTCTCTGGCTGCGTGTAGCATTTGTAATTGGGCTGCTAATCAACTTGCAGTACAAACGTTGTCTGTACTGTTGTGAGCCTAAAATGGCTGACAGATGTTAGATACTCGGGTTGGTATTTAGCGCTCTGCAACCGAACTACGCACAGCAACAGGGGCGGGAACAAATAGAGGATGCTGCTGTTTGATTTGCTCCGGAGAAATGTGGCAGCGTTACAGACTTCCCGACGGACCAATGGGGGGAGAGCTGAGCTGCACGAACGCAAGCAGTGCAAATGACTGTAGCTGTGTTTGTGCAGAAAGAGTACTTGAGGTAACAGGCTGTGTTTTTATTACAGAGGCACCGCAGTTGACCCCCTCGTGTCCAGGAATAACACAAATTAATACGTCTTGTCAATATTGTTCAATCACATGTCACTTTTCAGCAGCAGTGCAGGAATAAGATACATCTGGTTAAGCAATTACTTGATTTTAGGCCCTTAGAATAATATAAAACAATTTCAGGCATGATATAATATAATTTGTAGTTTACAAATAATGATTTGATTAAGTCAACATGTTATAATTGCAACATTTGAATCACTAGCTTCTCTCTTTGACCTCAGTAGCATTGATTATGGTAACAATAATGATGACTTCATAAATAGTGCACATAAGTAATTGAAACATTAATGATAGCGAAAAGAGAACAATAATAACCTGCCCAAGTAAATTCAGCAAAATGTGGTATTGAGTCATGACCATGATTACATGTGAGTTTATATGAACATATACTTTAAAAATATAAAAGCTCCCTATATTAGCTATATCTGTAATACCAGAATAAGCTTTCACATACACAAGGGGGACAGTTTGAATATATTTTTTGCCAACTACGTTTTCCTCATTATTTACAATTTACAACCAAAATGTGATTCTTGCTACAAAGATTACAGTTCTGCTGGTTTCTAATTAAGTTTTTATAATGTCACTTTTACATTACAGAAACTGTTTTCCACAAAGTCACTACATAAAATATTTTTCCTTCTCATTTGCCAGGGAGCTGGTGTAAACTCCCATGCGGAAGGTGAGCCGGTGGGAATGTGAGACAGTTGTTCGCGGACTCAACATGGGTAGGGGTCGAGGTAGAGGGAGAGGAAGGGGCAGGGGGTCGTCTGTCCAGCTACGACCCCCCTCGCCCTACAGACTGCAGCTCTCTCCATCCAGGGAGACTTTGACATATGCTCAGGCTCAGAAAATAGTGGAGGTGGACCTAGAAGGGAGACTCCATCGGATTCACATCACAGATCCTCTGCCAGTTATAACCGAGGATGAGATGACAGCCCAGGACATTACTGAGTGCAACAGTAATAAGGAGAACAGTGAGCAAATGCAGAGTAAAACCAGGTCATGGAAGAAACCCTCAAACAGTAAGAGCAAGAAGAGCGGTAAAAATACAACTCACCAGAACCAACGGTCTGGCTCCCAGCAGCACACAGGAGCTACCAATTCCCTCCAGCACCCATCCAACCAAAGCCCTCTACCTGAGCCCACCTTCCGTGTGCTGAGTTCAGTTAACCCCTCGGAGGCACCTCCTCTCCCAGCAGCGTATTACCGTTTCATAGAGAAGTCATTAGAGGAACAGGACAGTGTGGCTGAGTATGACATGGACGAGGAAGACCTGGCCTGGTTGGAGATGGTGAACCAAAAGAGGGTGTGTGACGGTCACGCCTCAGTACCTCCAGATACGTTTGAGCTGCTGATCGACCGTCTGGAGAGGGAGTCAATCCTGGAGTCCCGCAACCAAGCTCTGTCCCAGAGTGCAGTTGATGAGGATGCCTTCTGCTGCGTCTGCCTGGATGACGAGTGTCTCAACAGTAACGTCATCCTGTTCTGTGACATCTGCAACTTGGCCGTCCACCAGGAGTGTTACGGTGTGCCCTACGTACCAGAAGGCCAGTGGCTGTGCCGCTGCTGCCTGCAGTCCCCTTCCCGTCCTGTAGACTGTGTGCTCTGTCCCAACCGAGGAGGTGCCTTCAAACAGACGAGTGATGGGCGTTGGGCCCACGTTGTCTGTGCCATATGGATCCCAGAGGTGTGCTTTGCCAACACAGTGTTTTTAGAGCCTGTTGAGGGTGTCAAAAACATCCCTACTGCTCGCTGGAAGCTCACCTGCTATCTGTGCAAGCAGAAAGGCAGAGGAGCGTCCATTCAGTGCCACAAAGCCAACTGTTACAGGGCCTTTCACGTTACCTGTGCCCAGAAGGCCGGCCTCTTTATGAAAATAGACCCAGTCCGTGAGACGGGCATCAATGGTACCACCTTCTCTGTGAAGAAGACTGCTTTCTGTGAGCATCACTCGCCCGTCGGGTTTCGGCGGGATGGGTCAGGAGACGAGTCGGTTGAAGGAAGACTGGTGGGGGGCCGAGGGAACCGGGGTCAAAGGTCATATACTCAGAGCCCCCCGTCACCGACGAACAAGAAGGCTACCAAAGGCCAGAAGAAGAAGAATACAAAAAAGTCTGGTCGGTCAACACGTCGCTCAAATGTGCCTGTGCTGCTCGTGCCTCAGATCCCTTCTCACAGGTGAGAAATTTACACATTTTTGAGAATTCATGTTACCTGGCATTTTTTAATGTCTATGTGAGTATTTTTACTGACATTAATTAATATTTTGATTCACGTCATCTCAGGTTAGCGTTATGACCACCAGTGTTGCCACATAGGTTTTAATATGCAACTGTTACATCTCCACAGACTGAACAAGATCTGCACAGGAGTTGAAGTCCAGAGAAAGAATCAGTTCATGCAGAGGCTTCATAACTACTGGTTACTGAAACGTCAGTCGCGGAATGGGATGCCTTTAATACGCCGACTTCACTCTCATCTGCAGACCCAGAAGACAACAGAACAGGTGAGGAGAGAGATTATTACTTAAAGGTGCAGTTGTAGCACAGTTATATTGTTACATTGTGCTTTTGGTAGTTTTGATATCATGTGATATTACGCATGAAATGATTTTTTAGTTTGTCTGAACAGGGCTATAGTTAAAGTTGCTGAAAACAAAATCAGAAATGCTGTGCATGTGTATTTGTATAGGAAGCAGAGAAGTGAGATGCGATCACAAGGTGTCACTAGAGACGCATGGAGACATATTCTATTGTCAGTTGTGAACTCATGTGTTATGAGCTGTCCGCTTGTGATTGGATCAGTCAAAATGGTTGTCAATACCAGGTCTGAATAGGGCCTTTGTAACATTTTCTCCGATTTTTGCGTTGCTCCTCTATGCTACACGGCCACTCTCACACACAAGCTAGCACTGCAAAAGTCCTACCAAATCTGTGGCAGTAAATCAATACATTGTTTTTACTATCCTTGGCAGGCAGGCAGGAAAACCTTTGCATATCACTGGCCCTCTGGACTCACCCCTCCGCCTCCCGGTCTTGCACATTTTGGTGTGCATTTAGGAACAATAGAATGTCAGGATTTCTGATAACGCATCAAATCTGTTCAGAACACAGTTAGTCATGGCACACCATCACACCATGTTTGTAAACTCACACTCTGAATTCAAGCATAAGCCCAGACATCACACTTCACCATAGCTGATTCAAATAGATGGCAAACTTCCACACAAGCCTTCACTGCTCTCTCTTTGCTGTAGTCCTCTCACTGTCACACAATTTGAAGTAACAGAGACAGGAAGTTAAGTCATGGTCAAGGTGACCAAGTCTATGCAGCTGCAGATAAGAGAGAAAAGAAGGGTGAGAAGAGAAATACAAAGAGGAGAAGGGTAGATTTAACCATCTAATCTTAAAAATTAAGTTAGATATATTTTTACTACCTTTTGATATTCACTTTGACAGCTGGCATACTACGTGCGCATAGCACCCATGTGGGGTTGTGACTGCTGGACTGCCCCCTCAGTTAAATCCTACACATTTGTCCTTTAATCTATTCTCCACTCATTTACAATGCCCAGTGATGCTGTTTTAACCAACAAATGCAGGTAAAACCGGATTTAACCACAGTGTTTTAGATGGTAAAATAAAATGGTCATTGTAATAGCTTTCAGTGAATCTATTCTGAATCTGAAGCCTGATCTCTTTGTCCTCATTCCTTTATGTCCAGAGGGAGCCTGACGAAAAGCTGTCTGCTGCAAGAGAGGAGCTTCGATACTGGCAAAAGTTGAGGCAGGACCTGGAAAGAGCCAGACTTCTGGTGGAGCTGATTCGCAAGAGAGAGAGGCTAAAGAGAGAACAGGTGCGAGAACAGAGGAAGCATGAAGGCTCGAGACATGCTATAATTATTTAGGGCACTTTTATAACACTCCTGTCAGCATTGGCACTCACAAACATCTGTTAGCGCTGCAACAATTAAGAAATGCACTTAACTCCTGACATTTTCCTGAAAATTTCCAAAGGGGCTGTATCTGAAAACATAAATGCCCGGGTCAGTTACTCTAGATATTTTTAGAAACTTTTCCCGACAGTCCCCCTGGTAAAACATGTCTGAATGAGCCCATAAAGCAGGAAAATGTCTGAGTGAGCATGTAGATGACGTTGCGAGACGTGATTTGACACAAAACTGGAAGAGTACAAATATCTCAGGTTCAAAAAAGAGTTGCCATTCACGTAGAACAACTAAGTCAATTTGGAAAGACAATTGGGAAACAAAAATGCAGCAGAAGTTTTATTCAATTCAATTTTCAATTCAATTTTATTTATATAGCGCCAATTCATAATTTACATTATCTCAAGGCACTTTACATTTAAAGGTCAAGACCATAAAACAATATTAACATAGAGAAACACAACAGTTCCCACAATGAGCAAGCACAGGCGACTGTGGAGAGGAAAKACTCCCTCATTAACAGGGAGAAACCTCTGGCAGAACCAGGCTCAATGTGGGCGGTCATCTGCCTCGACCGGTTGGGATGAGGAAAGAAAAGGAAGGGGGGAGGAAAGGAGAAATGGGTGGAATTTGGGGGAGAGAAGAGAGAGATGAGGTGGGGAGAGAGAGAGAGACCGGGAACAATTGGGCACCATCAGTATCAGGGCTGATTATAACATGCCTTCCTCCTGCATGCACGACCCAGCCAGCAGCCCTCGTCTGAACATCCTTGACATTTCCCTGTTGTTGTGACACAGACACTGACTATCTCCTTCTATGTTTTTCATAAGTGAAATCTGAAAATGGGTCTGGTCAATTGACTGCCACTGATCGAATGTGACTAATGAGTCATCTATGAAAATCATTGAGATTGACTATCTTGCAAAACAAAATTGTTTAGAGCTAAAGATGTTACCTTGGGCTTTAAGATATTTTGGAGGGCTTTTATGAACAAAATGATGACTCATTTAATTGAGTAAACAACAGGCAGATGAATTCACAATGACAATAAATGTTAGAGGCCGCTGTATTCTCGGTTCTCCTCAGTATTCGTCATTCATTTGAACCCCTTAAGAGTGACCTTGTCTTTCCTCTGCTCCCCCCTGTGTAATCACATCATCTCTCTCCAGATGAAAATTCAGCAGGCTGCCCTTGAGCTGAAGTTGACCCCAGCGCTGATGCTTCTCAGATCCACCTTGGACCAACTGCAAGAGAAGGACACAGACAAAATCTTCTCTCAGCCCGTTAATCTTTCAGAGGTTGGTGCAGTTTGATAAATCATTTCATAAATATACATTTTTCACTCAGCAGCATATTTACTTTAGCTTTATTATGCCTCCACTAATATCCTGATTATAATCATTCACTGAGGTCCCAGATTACTTGGAGTTTGTTTCCCAACCCATGGACTTCTCCACCATGCGCACCAAACTGGAGGGACACGGCTACTGCTCCATCACGGACCTGGAGAGGGACTTTGAACTCATGATTTCAAACTGCCTCAAGTACAACTCCAAGGACACCATGTTTCACAAGACGGCTTTACAGCTGCGGGAGGTGGGCGGAGCTGTCCTCCGCCACGCCCACAGGCAGTCTCAGAGTATTGGTCTCGACCCCAACACTGGCATGCATCTCCCAGAGGCGCCAAACAAACATGGCTTCTACCACTGTACGTGGGATGATGGTGAGTTAAGAATGGCAACTAGATTTTTCTAAATTAATTTAACCAACATGCCTCATGTATTTCATCTTTTTCCCCCCCTCAGTGGACCCTCTCCTGGACCCAGAGAACCGACTGCACTTAAGCACAGACGAGCAGCTAAAGGCCTTGCTGGACAAACTCGACATGGTTACATCCATGCGTACCAGCGGTGGCCGAACCAAACGAATCAGGCTGCTGCGCCGAGAGATCAACACTCTCAGACAGAAAATGAACCAGCAGCAAAACACTCAGTGTGTGAATGGTAATAACAAGGAGGAGGACGTACCAGATGAAGAGGAGGAGGAGGAGGAGGTGGAGGAGAAAGAAAAGAAATCAGAGAAGACGGATATTGTGGATAATGGACATTTGACCACAGTGTCAAACTCTGGGAATGGTAAAATGATTTTTAATATGTATTATTCACTTGCTTTAGTTTAATAGAATTTTTGATTTAACTAATTTAACTTCACTGTAAATAATTTATCATTTGTGCTGCGGCTTAAAATATTTTTTATTATTGATTAATCTGCTTAAGTTTCATGATCAATCATTTTGTCAATTACATGTGAAATAGTTAAGAATTCCCATTATAATTTCCCTCAGTCTAATGTGATGTCTTCAAAAGTCTATACTTTATACAAAAACCCAAAGAAATTCTATTACAGTGATTAAAAAAGAGAGAAACAGCCTGTCAGTAACTTTTGGAAGATAAGTCAACTAATCATATTCTACATATGATATATATATATTTCTCTTCCACCCAGATGACTCTCCACCTGTGCTAGAACTTACTTGCCCGGTGTCATCACCACTGCCGGGAGATGCTCCTCTCGAGCCTCCTGTACTGGGAATTGTAACTGGAGGGCGAAGGTCACCCGGACGCTCCTTCAAGCGTCAGAGGTCATCCCGCAGTGGGAGCAAAAGCCAAGGTGAAGACGAGGCTGAGGTCGGTGAAACGCCATCTTCACAACAAGAAGCCGTTCACGAGGCTACGCCACTGGGATCACCCCCAACTCTACCTTTGGCTGGAGTTGGTCGTCGTACATCTGTTTTGTTCAAGAAAGCTAAAAATGGGGCACGGATGGCGAAGAACAAGTCCCCGCTGCAGCAGAATGGGAAAACAGCTGACAGTCAAACCAATGGCCTGGAGAGCACCTCTGCTAGTCCAAAATCACCCAGTGTGACAAACATCACTGCTTTACCTCCCACTCCAAACCCCTCTCCTGCACCTCCCTCTCCCTCTGCGCACCACCTGAGGTCCAGAGGCTTCAGCCCAGAGACAGAAGCAGACAAACTCCCTCCACCACCCAAAGAAGCAGGTAGTGACAAAATATATCATTTCAATTCTGAAAAAGATTCTTGAGTCCATGTCAGTCATGATTTCATTTGTGTTTGTGCCAGGTCTCACAAATGGAAAACACATTTCTGCAGACCATGATGATGACGACCAAAAATTAAAGTGAGTATGGAGAGATGCATAATTGTTGGTATTGAATTAACTAACAAATAAATGGACAGGGGTGGAAACACAACCTCCTTGGTAGAGCTACATAACACCTGACTGCTACTCGATGGAGCGTTACAGCAAGTGATTGTTTTTTTGTTTTCTGGCCCTTTACTGTTATGTGACACTCAAAGAAAACCCACTGAACAATATCAGCTTAGCACCACACGTTAGATGGACGAAGATGGCAACTAGCTGGTGAACATAGCGACTATTTAGGAGCAAGAGAGCCTCACATTTCACTAATAAGTTGGAGATGAGAAATATCACTGTTGCGTTCTGATTTGTCATTGATGTCCCTTAGTTCCTACATTTTTTTTTATTATCACAGGTTAAAATCCTCTACCTCTCTTACCTTCTCTCTCTCTCTGTCTCTCTCGTACTGTTTACAGCTGTAGTGTCTCCCCACCCAAACGTAGTCGGGGTAAACCTGCACTGGCTAAAGTCCCGAGCAGTGAGAATGGAGACATCTCTGGGTCTGGTGTGTATCAAGACAGGATAATCAAATTACAGTGAAAAGCCTCTGTTTTTGTGTGTTTATTGAAGGCGCAGTGCTAAAATATACACACACAAAAAAAGTTTCAAGGGTTGCAAGTTAGAAATAAAATTGATAATTTTGGTGACCAGTTCAGTGTAGTTCAGTTTTCAGTTTGGGCTCAAGAGCTGTCATGAATACAAATTAATTGGATCTATTGGAATATCCTGTTCACAGGAAAGTCTACACTTCTGTCTTTAGATAGTGAGACAGAGCTCGCACCACTGGACCTAGTTTGGGCCAAATGCAGAGGATATCCGTCATATCCAGCAATGGTGAGAATGAATTCATCTTTTTCAAAGGTTTCCATACAACACCTTTCTTTGACTATATAAGGGCATATTTGTCAAAGTGCTGTAACTGACAGAATTTACTGTTGGATTTACAGATTGTCGACCCTGACATGCCGCAGGAAGGGCTTCTTCACAATGGCATCCCCATTCCAGTGCCTCCTGTGGAGGTGCTTAAACTGGGTGAGTGGAGACAAACGGAGGAAGGCGAGAAGCTTTTCTTGGTGCTCTTCTTCGACACCAAAAGAACTTGGTAAGTTTCCGACAGGCAGGATAAAGCTCATGCTGAATTTCACAACAATCATGACTAGTCCTGTCCTGCTCACTTTGAAAATGGTCCCTTACAATTTTCAGGCAATGGCTCCCTCGTGACAAACTACTGCCGCTGGGGATGGATGACACTGTAGACAAGTTGCGCTTAATGGAAGGCAAGAAACCCAGTGTTCGCAAGTCTGTACACACTGCGTATGACCGGGCCATAGTACATTTAAACCATGTGAGAGGAAATCTTAACTTCACTCCCTCCAATTTTATATGAATTTTATCTGAAACATTTTTATCATCTTAAACAGGCTGCCTGGTTATACATTTAGAAGCTTCATCAGTGCTCTTAAAGGGTGAGAAAGTCAATTATCAACAGTTTCAACAACAGTTTTTGGTATTTGAAGGTTTTCTGTATAAAACTGATGCTCTGGTTTTTAAAATGGAGAGAAAAAGTGCTTGAACACATTTTGTAGATGAAATTGTTGGTTTATTCACTTTTTTTTTTTTAAAGGTTTTACACAACCACTGTTGCTATGTGTTCATATAAAGTTTTTATTTTAGGCCAAAGTGAGTCAAGAGAAGTGTAAATATTTACTCATCAAAGGGATTGTCTAGATTCAATATGTATTTAGATTGTACTTGCCATAGAAATGTCACTGTGTTTATTGAAGAGTGAAAGTCCCACTTTATATTCACGTCATATCTGGACTCTATGGATGAAATGTTAAAGGTTTGTTGTCTAAGTGGTACTGAAAAATAATTTAAGATAATATTTAATATTGTTATTATTTTTCAAATTGATGCAAAAAGCAGGAAACTTAACGAAACTATTGTTTAGGTTACACTCTCAAAAACAATTATACTGTATGAAGGTAACTTGTAAGGAAGGCAAGTTCCCTTAAAATGATCATTACAATGACAAGCTCTTCAGAAAATAGGTTAGAGGTGAAATCTTTCAAAGTTGACTCTACATGTGTCCGTCTGTAGTGCTTCTGTCTCTTCTATTATCTTTTTACCCCCTTATGTTAAAGGTACAGTGTGTAGAATTTAGTGATATCTAGTGTTGAAGTTGCATGTTGCAGCTGAACACCCCTCACCTCACCCTCTCCTTCCAAACATGAAAAAGAACCTGTGGTACCTTCAGTTGGTATAAAAACTCAAAAGGTGTTTAGTTTGTTCAGTCTGGACTAATGTAAAAAACATGGCGGCCTCCGTAGAGAGGGTCCCCTCCATGTAAATATAAAGTATTTAAATATAAAGAGTCTTTTCTGGGGTAAAGAAAACTACAATTCACACAATTTAGATGTAATGAACTAGTGAAAACATCATGAGGATTATTCTACATTACATTTCTGCCAATAGATCCTTTCACCTAAATCTTACACACTGGACCTTTTTTTAAAAAAAAAGAAGAGAGACATCCATACTTAAAATGATCCCTATATTGAGTCATACTGTATTTAGTGTTTTAATTAAGGTTATTTTTAATTTATTTTTATTTCTGAATTTGTCCTTTTACTGGTTTTGTCACAGCTCATATAAACAATGAAAACACTCGTACAGGACTTACAGTGAACGCTTAATCTCTCTGAGTGTTCTGTGAGACGTATCAAATTAAAAGTACTGCAAATAGAAGGACCAATAGAATAAAAAATAGAAAATTTAAGTAGAATATTAAAAAGTATGCTAAGACTGTAGAATTGGTATTGACCCTGAATTAAAATCTGAAGTGAAGCCTGGCTGGTTCAACTCTTACAATAAGTTTTTGTTGTTTGCACATTTTCCTCAACAATACTGACAATTGCAGATACATTAGATGGATTCAGGTTCTTAGACGTACAGGTTCATTTTGGTGAAATATCCCCCAGTGCAAACATTCTTGAACTTGCAGTCCAGCTATGACGTGTTGTGGGTGGGACTTGAGAGGTTTTGACTTATTTTTCCATATTGTGAAACTGTATATTGATACTAGAATGTTGGAGAACCTGGTGCAGCTACTTGGTTATTTAAGATGCGACGCCACTACGGAGGTGAAGCTGATTATTTGTGGTTATCCTAACAAAGTCTTTTGCAATCACCCAATGAAGAACTTGCAATTGTTTCATTTTGCAAATCTGGCTGAAATTACTTGAAAAGCACAATCAGACTGTTTAAAAAAATATATTGGTGACTCCTGGAGCCCGATGCTGTGGCATCAAACGTGCGTGTTTGTACACTATATACATATATGTATACAGTCTCAGTGTGGTAAAGGTGCATGTGTATAGTTTTGTAAATATGTAAATGTATGTTTATATTGGCTTACATGAAGTAATTTAAGGAATGCAGAAAAAAAATTTAGATTTTAATTTATAAATTTGTGGCAGTCGAGAGTGTTATTTAAAAAGTAATATTGAAAAAAGATTTATGTATGATGCTACGTAGCTCTTTGTAATAGTGACGGTCATCACCAACATGTCAGAACATTCTCTAAAAGTGACACCTGAGCTCTGTGGGCTGCAGTCACACTGCACTCAGCCGACAAAGGGTGTTTTATCTTTTCCTCGGGTGGCAAAGGAGATTTTCGATCTTGTCATTTGAGTTGTTCCGCAAGATCTATAAATCTGCCTGAGACAATATTTTCTCATACAAGAATAAATGCTGTTTGCAACAAATGCATGTGTGAATGTTATTTTTAAGAATGATGTGCATCTGTTTGAGTCATTCATCACACTGCAGCATCTTGGGTGTCCCTCAGGTCGAGATACCATTAGAAAAAAAAATTGGAGTACAAGAAGATTTGACAAGAAGGAAAAATGATCCACATTTCTGTATCAGGATTGTTTGGCTGTTTGTGTCAGAGCCTCTAATTCCAGATTTTAGATTTGCAGCTGTCCATGTTATCCCTGCTCCTGAGTTGTTAAGTGTTGTTGATGTTAGTGACCAAATCATTCTCATCAGAAAGGAAATGTCTGTTATTTTGTAATACGTCACATTAATTGTACCAATGAAGAATTAATTCATCATTCAACAGGAAACGTTTGCTTGTTTGTTAGCAAAAGGTGCTGAACAGATGGTGGAAGGATGCGGTGTGGGTCAGAGAAGAATTTAAACATTTGAAGTGGATCTGGATAAGGAGGCAGAATCAGGATTTTTTTTTTAACGTTTTCACAGATTTTCCAGATAATAATTCAGGAATCTTGATTTTAAAATATCAGACATGTTTTGGGGAGTGATATTTATGAGTGTGAGCAATTTGGTGCCGATCTACTGCTGTTAAATTTGGTTTGATAAGGACTGTTTGGCCTTGGCAGAGGTATAGACTCTATACTAGTTTAATGTTTTAAGATCCTATGGGGTTACCTGTATTAGTACTACCTGTTGAGGAGAACTATTAGGTTACACCAGCAATTATTTGAAAATCAACTGTCTCTGATTATAATTAGGACCAAATTAATTTGATCTTTTCAGAGAAACTCACATGTGACATAAATTCCACACCAGAAAAAAGTTACATCATGTTTTCTTATTTTTCTAATAGATAATAAATGAAACATATTCATTACATCTCTACTTAATAAGGACACGTGTACATTTGTGCAACCTGGGATTTATTTTATTATACTAGACACTCTTTAAGACTTGAACTGAGAGGAAACTCCTCAGTGGACACAAAGGATGAGGCTACTGTTTATAGATCATCTTTACAAAACTATTACCCAAAAAGAGAAGTACCAGGTGTCAGCTGACTAGGCGTTTCTGCAGAAAAACAATGTGCCAGCTCAGAGGCGTCTTCTTAGCTTAACAGATGATCTCCAGACCGACAAGGTTCGACTTCTATCAATGAAAACACTGACTGTGGAAATGACGGTTCAACAGGCTGGGGTTTCCTACTTGTTTTCTACACAAAATGTAACATGAATGACACCTGATTGTTTTCATTTGAGTGGGATATAAAACAACATGTTTTCAAGCTCCGTCACAGGGATGTGCCACCGATTCATGGAGGGCGTTTGTGTGTTCATGTCCCATTATGACACATAGTGGCCCATCCCTGTTCTGGCAGTTCCAGTCGTTATTCAGGTTTATTCTGAACCCACAAACACAGCAAACCTTCCATTCTTGCATATGCTTTTTTTTGTTACGTCAGAGTGTTTTTGTGTCATGAAAAAAACTTCATGCGATAATTAGTCTGTGAAAGGTAGTTTAAGTTCAATTTTCTCCTCATCTTAACTTACACCAGAAACAGACAATGACTCGTTAATAGCATATGAACGATCTGTCGTCTCCGTGATACATTCACTGTCCGTGAGGAGGGTTTCTCTCATGTCGCAGTAATAAAACAATATAAAAACATTTAAATATCATTGCAGTTGTATTCTACCACAGTTCAATTTAAAATACTAATCCTGTTTTGCCCTGACTGTTTCGTATCGAAAGCAATGATGCAGTTACATGCTTTCTTGTTAAAGTACGGAAATAATACTCGTTTCAAAGATATCATTCTTTCTTAAATAGTGTAAAATGTAGTGTTTGATTCCAGTAGTCAATGTCTGTCAAGTCTGTCAAAACAGGGTTCAAAAATATCTTGGAACCAGTGTAGAAACTATTGTGGAGAGACTCCTATAGAAGAGATAAGAAGCCGTTGTCCGTGGAGTCCTGCTGGTCAGATTTGCCGCCTCGAGAGCTCTTGCTGGGGTTTGGGGTGGTTGAATACTTTGGGGGGTATCTGATGAAGAGGCGTTCCTCTTCCTTTTTAATCCACCTCAGAAGTTTAGTGATAGCTGTGATAGCACAGGCCTTAGTCACCAGAGGACTGAAGCATGTGTACAGCTCGAATTTGCTTGTGACCTACAGTGGAGAGGGAAACAGTTGTTAAAAGAAGCTGCAACAGTTTGTGACTCACTGTGTCTACATGAATGTTAGTAACTGGGTTACAGTCTACCCAGTAAAGTGGTTTCTTACTTGTCTTACAAATAAGAAACGCACTTTCTCTAATCAACAATTTTTAAACTAGATTCTGGTGGAGAACGCTGATTTATTGGCTGTGTACAAACTTGACAGTGTTTCTTCTAATTAGCTTTTTACAACTTAGCTTGTGGAAGAGGAAGAATTCAGATAGGACGAGTATTAGTGTGGCAGCATAGAGAGGAAAATAGACAATTTCACATTCCTGTGTTCAAGATAACCCAGTCCAAAGTTTGCATTAAACTGTCTGAAACCAGCACAAAGTAGACTCCAGAAGTGTAAATACACTGGAGACCACCTGACACAGCCTTGCCTTTTCGCACAGAATCAACCAATCAGAGGACTGCTTCATTAATGAGATCATTATTTAAACCTTTTTGACCCATATAAGTTGTTAATTGCTGTAACCCTGATCGCTGTAAGTGGCTTTCATTGCAACTCCATCACTGAATAACTGGAGGGCTGATTATTATTCAAGTAATGGATTAGTCGGCTGTCAGACATTTAATCAGTGACTATTTCAATCAAATTATTTTTTAAAGGGAAATGCAAAACAAGACTGTTGGCCTGAGAAAACTTAATATTATAACACATCAATTTGGGCTATAGGGAAAAACAAAAAGCGAAACGAGGAATTAGATACCGCTACCACAGTTAAAGTATGAAAGTATGACATGCTTCCAAAATAAGGAAATGCAACTACTGACCTGCTGCATCTATGTATAATTTTGCAGTGCATGTACACATATTTAGGCAGTTTCTTGAGTACAAATACATGTGGTGCGGGGTTAAGGTCTACTTTCTGAGCAACTGATAACCCTTGAACTTTTTAAACACACCCATGTAAAGGATAATCCAATACACACAAAAACAGTCTCCAAGAGCAGCTTGTTATAACAACAGTAAGTCTATGACAACAGTAAGTCTATAACAACACTGAGTATGTGTTCACAAATACAGCTACTTACCCAGGCTAACAGAGTTTCTCTCTCAGCGACATGGTAGATGAGCTTGAGCGGCCGTGAAGTGCTGTGGATGCGGCTGTGCATGTAACGATAAAGGTCCAGAAGCCTCATTTTCTCATCTTCACTGCTGTACGGTGCCTCCATCTCTGGGCTGCATACGACAACAAATAGTAGAATAAAAGGTTATAGACGGAAAGGCTAAATGAAGATCTCTGACAAACAAAAACACAGAGAGACCTTAGGGCTGTTTCACATTATTTTTAAAATGAACTAAATAAATAAAACCATCATCATTATCATTCAAGTATAGTATTATGATTATTTACATAATTTCATCTTCGTTTTCAAGGTTCAGTTGGCTGCTGCCTGTGAATTAGCTCAGCTCATTAGTAGATTAGCAAAATGGCATGGTGGGATTAGTGGAATACAATTTAAATTTCTTTCAGTTTTCCTCTGTGCCCTTGTAACTGGAAGCCCGATGTCAGAAACCCTCTGAGCTACTTAATATACATATATAACAAACAGGACACTGTCACTTGTAAACAACAACCACACTAAGCTGTATTTGTTTTCTTAGAGTTTGCTTGGCAGTGTCCTGTTCATATCGGTATATTGGTGTCCATGTAAACGTATGACAAACACACACACACACACACACCTGGTGAACTGAGTGAGCTGGCGGTAGGTGTCTGGCACGTCAAAGGGCTTGTACATGAAGTGCCTGAGGTCTGAGACGCCCACCTGGCTCACGCTGTATGACTGGGCTTTGGCGATGAGGCTCAGCGAGTTCTGAGCCACCATGGCCTCCTCTATCTTCCTCTTGCACTCAGCTACAGCGTAAAAAGCCTCCTTGTCGGTTGAGAGCAGCAGCAAACAAACAGTGCATTCCGGAGGGTCCAGGTAAGAAATGTATGCATAAAAGTAACAGTCCGGGTTAAAGAGCGGGAGGCAGATGGGAGTCCAGATCTCCCCAGCCTGAAAGGCAGAGGAGGCTCCGATGAGGTTGAGCAGGAGGTGGACGTCGGCGGGCTCCAGCCTGGAGTCCTCGATAACGGTCTTCTCTTGTACGATGGTGAGCAGCTGGTTCTTGGCAACGAGGATGGAGAAAACCAGATTGTGCGTTATCGCTTTCTGCAGGATCTGGCTGAGAGAGTCCCTGAGAGAGGAGGCTAGGGGTAAGCAATGTATTGCTGTTAGCAGGAAGCTGGGGTCTGAATCTACCAGGTTGAGGAGGCCGTCCAGGATTTTCTCAGAGCCTGCCAGGAGTCTTCTCAGGTCGTAGTTCTTCTTGTGTTCGAAGATGCGGGATATGCTGGCCTGGGTGAGCATGCTGATGATCTGATAGTACACGTAGAGGAGCTCTCCTCGCAGTTGCTCCTCGGACTGACGACTGTTGGAGACGCACACGAGCACGAGGGGTCCTTTCTGCAAGAACACCACGGTGTGCTTATCTGTTGGGAGGAAGAAAAGACATCAGCAAAATATGAACAATTCTTAAAAAACAAGTGTATGTCAACAAACAACAACTTCTCCCATACTTTTTATCTTTAATAAATAAAAAGTGAATGTTAAACAATATTGTAAATGCATTAATTTCCTCATTGCTCATTGTGGTTAAGACATTGTTTTGTTAAATGGTTATAATTAACTTGGCACTTATTGCAAGCCAGAGTTACAGCAACCGCATTTACTGACCACCCCGCCCCACAGTCCTCAGCAAAATGTCTACACATACTCTCATATAGGCTCATGTAATAAATTCTCATATTACAAAAGCCATGTAGGGGGAGTAAAAATCCCATTAATGCTCTCACCTGAATAGACTGAGCGGATGATATTATCTCCACTTTGGACAAAGGACACCAGCGCCATCATGACTCCCATTGTGGATGAAAGAGCCTCTTCACTACCATATCTGGAATAGATGGGTTTGCCTGCTTCACTTAGCACAAAAACATGCTTCCTGTGCTGCCGCCAGCTGTCAGATGTCACATCCTCATCACGGTGAGACATGAAAGCAGGAGACTCCTGGGTGCCCGCCTCCATCAAGGGTGACGACCTTCCCTTTACACCTATACCTTGCTCCTCCAGCTTGGCCTTGGCCAGCACTGTAACGACAAACTCCCCAGAATCGCTCTGGCTATTGTCTGTGGCGGCATCCTGAGAAACGCGCTCAGCTGTCTCGTTGGATTCATTGTCCGGACATCGTTCGGAGTTTTCTGTCTCCTCAGTCTCCTGTTTCTCGTCCTGGTTAGAAATGGACTCCACATCATCACTCTGCTCTTGTGCTGTAACATCTGGCAGGTGCAAATCTGCCGGCTCCTCTTTGTCAGCGGTGGCAATGTCATTTCTCTCCACTGGTTCAGGAAACATGTGATTCCCCAAGAGGGAGAGAGAAGTCGCCAAGGTGTCGGCTAGAACGATAAAATGAATTGATGAATAAAAACAGAGCTAAAAAATTGAGAGTATCTCTAAATCAGAGATGATATCATTCATTCACCAGGAGGATTGCTCTCTGAGGGCGGATCGCAAATCTTCACTCCCTGCGTCTCTCCTTCTGGATGATTGTCCCTCTCCATGATACCATCCCAGAGGCTGCAGATAACAAAACAAACATACTATAACCAGACAGTTCCAAACAAACTCATGCATTCCAGTGAGTGCAGCTGAACCTTGGGACAGCATGCATCTTAAGTCTCATATGAATAGGAGCACTCATTATGGAGCGGTGGCACGGTCACATGATGACAGAGAATAACCGGTTACAGGGGGAGAGAAATGGGAGATGCAGACTGAGGAATTTAACCAGCAGCCTGGTTCATTGCCTCACTACAGATACACGATCGCCGGTTGGAGGAAACTATTTGTCCCAGCGCTACCGAGCTAACCGTGTGTTGATCCATGGCTTAACTTACTTAGGAAGCTAACTGTGGGTGATGCGCTAGTTAGCAAACAATGTGGAAATCTAACTTTTGCACCATCACGGATGTTTTGACGGTGAATTCAGTGAGCGCTGTCTGTATTTACATGGTTAGCGCTGGCTGCTAGCAAAGCGACACACACACACACACAGATCGATTTCATGGCCTCGGCTTTAACACTGAGCGACGCCGGAGCGAACCGAGGTTAAACTAACGCGAGACAGACGAAGTCACGTTATCCAACTTACGCTTTTTCTTGTCCCGGTCAAAGCGTCGTGTTGAACGTCTACTTCGCTGCGTTCACTTTCGTCGGCATCCCGGTGTCACACGAGCTGTCACGAAGGAGAAGCAGAAAACAAACGCTCCTCTTAGCGCCGCAGAACATCCGGAACCTCTCATGGCAAGCAAGGCTGACCAATCAGGAGGCTCGGGGGGGCTGCAGCTCGTCCCGCCCCTTCTGGGTACAAGTTCCAGCCCTGTAATCTGAATATCAGAAATACTTTTGAACACAGACTGAATAAAAGAGGTTTTTACTGATGATAGTGTGGAAGGACTTGTTCTATCTTTGTGTTTGTTGTTGTTGATGTGTTCTGCTACACATGGAATCTTCCTCACTTCTGTCCATCACAGGAGAGAGTTCCCTGAAGTCAAGAAAGATGATATCTTTTTATCTCGTGAACACAAAATAATAATTATCATGTATTATTGTTCCCACTCTGTAATTACCGAGTGGAAACAAGATAAATAAGTTGTGCACACTAATATCTGCGTAGTAAAGACACGACTGGCCGATGCTCTGAAGACAACACTGAGTTGCGTTTATAGCTTTAAGGAGTTTGTTAATTTCTCAAGTATTATAACTGAAACATAGAAATGTGTTTCTTTAATGGTTTGTATTGAGCTGGATTACAGAGTTTTTACTGAACTGTACAAAAAACAGGAAAACGTGATACAGGAAAATGTGAACATTGTGTGCAAGAGGAAACAGTTCATCAGGAATAAAGTAAAATTAGATTTTAGATATATCCTACAAAACCACTCAAAAAGTGTGTTGTCAAATACTATTTGATTATCTAACAGAATCAGATATAACTGATAGAATAGTTTTGTTTGTTTTATTTTAACTCAATAGAATAGATACTATAAGACAGCCTGATCCACACTCCACACCAGCTGGTGGCGGTAATGCGCCAAATCGTTGTTGCCAGTAAACAACAAAAAGAAGAAGAAGAAGAAGCACTACTAAATATGGCTGCCAGGTTATCTAATGCAACTTAGCCAGAGCGACCTATTTCGTTTTCAGAATTGTAGCACGGACATAAAGCTCAGTCGGTTGGTTTGAACCCTCGTGAGCTGGACACGATGGAGGAACCATGGGACTTTGAGTTCTTGTCCCGCATCGCTGACAGCTGTCTGTCGTTCCTCACCGAGTTCGTGGACGACTGGCTCGCCAACGACATGAGAGTTTCCATATTCAAGATCTTACTCAGCTGGTTGATCTTCAGCCTCATCGCCATTCACTTTGCGTGGAAGGTTTACGGGAACACAGTGAACGACATGTATTACCGACAAGGTGAGGGCTTCTCTCTGCAGCCGTGTCGCTGAACGAGTGTTAGCCACGTTAGCTTCACCTGTGTGTGTTTGTGTTGAAGGGACCGGACAGAACGGAGGAACCCCTGACACAGCCCCCCACCTGAGGGGATGGTAGGTGACCCCGCATCCCGTGGCTCCAGGCTGGAGACCCCACTGTCCTGTCCTCTCACCTGCTTCACTTTGGTTTGCATGAGTGCAGTTTGAGATCTTTTACCTCCATTCATTATAGTATGTCATATTATTCCACAGGTATGTCTCTGATTAGGAATTCCAGCCATTTCTATAAACATACTCGTGTTCTTTTAGTAAACCATACCTGTCCATATTTATGTAGACGTTGATTTCAGTATTTCAATATCTCCTGCACAAATATAGTTTACATGCTTGTGCAGTCGCTGTTTCCCACTAAAGCACCCAAGAACATTTCTCTACAAACAATATAGCCACAGTGAAAGATGTATGGTGTTTTATTTTTTATTCTGTTGCCCCTTTCAGTGTCTTGTCTTCCTGCTGCTGTTACAAGTGAATTTCCCAGCATTAAGATGATGTATTTATTTATATTACCTTATTCCAGTCAGAGCTTTAATGGTAAAGGGATACTGGGTTACAGCATTGAGCTGAGACTTTTTAGTAATACCATTTTTTTATTCTATTCTTGCAGGGAAAGCAAAGCCAGAGATACTCTGAAGACGCATCGAGATTAACAGGACAGTGGACTTTGACTTCGGACTTTATCCAAGTGAGACCTGGACAGTTTGAGTCCTTCAGAGACATCCATTGCACCCACATCTCTGAAAAACACAATCTTCAGTGCGCTCAAGATGGATCCACTGTCTGGCTGAAGAAACATGTTACCATGCATACCAACAGTTTCATGCTGATATGCACTCAACAGACTATTTAGTGCTGTACAATATTTATTTCAATCTTATCTCTGGTCAATGAACAGGATTTTATTCTGAACAAAAGCTTGTTTTTTCTTCCAAGGGGCCTCAGTAAAAATTACAAAAATATTGATGTTTACATATGAATTTAGACGTTTTGATGGTTGACATGACATTTTCCATTCTAAGACCACAAGTAAGAAAAAAAAGAATTGAGTCACAACACAAGATCATGTTCACAGATTTGTTTAAATAATAGTAAGGCTGAATAACAGCAGAGGCAAGTGAATGACAGTGAGTGATTTGCGTGTGTGTAGTTGCTGATTAGAAACGTTCTTTGCAGTGGTCATTTTAATCAGTAATTTCATAAATAATACATTTGGTCGATATATAAAGACTGATCCATGAAAATCAACTCATCTTTCATCTTCCATGATTTTTTGTGACTTTTAAACAACTGCTGTTCACCATAACGAGTGCACTTAATAGGGAAAAAAATTTGTTTGAAGAGCCATAAAGTGTTTTTTTTCCCTGATTGATTATTTTAACATTGACTGAGCCAACAACTTTTTCAGAGTGAAAGAAAAATCTCTACCAATTGATTAAAAATAAGAACAAATATATTTATACATTAATCTCGTCTATGATATCTAAAGATTTTAATAACCATCGTCTTTGTGTGTTCGTGATGTGATGAATGATGTGAACTTTTGTATCTGAATGGACAAAGAGCCGGTTAATCAGGAAAAAGAGCAGACTGGTGGGTTGTGTGGTTTGAAAGTAAACTCAGAAAGGATGGATAAACTGGGAAAAAATGCCAAAGTCTACAAGAAAACTGACTTTGGAGATTTATTTCAGTCAGAACAGGTGAAATATAGATACAGATAATGGATGGACGGATGGATTTTTAGGTCAGACTTAAAGCCAGAGCTTAAACCACAACGACTGTCTTAGCGGAACAATCTTCTTGAATGGCCAAGTCCATGTCCACAACTCAGTCCAGTCATGCTCATCATCGATAGTAGTTTTTGTGTAATTCTGCTGACAAACAAACAACCAACAAATAAACAGACAGACGGGTTAGAAAAACATAACCTCCTTGGTGGAGGTAATGAAACTAAAACATAATGAACAGGGACATAGTTTGTTTTTTTTTAATTCAGATCCTTTCTCTGAGTTAGTCTGCGTTAACGGGAATTGGTGGAATAAACAGCATGTGGACATCCATCACATTGGTGCAAGTCAGACCAGGTACAAGAAGACGTTGCCCGACAGAAAGACTTGAAAAAAACGTGTAAGAATCATTGTTGGTAAGGAAGTTGTGGATGTCCAGCCCCTGTGCTTGTGCTTCTTCATACAACCCCCCATCAGTAACGGCCCCTGCGGCCTCAGTGGGTCCATCTTGGCCATCGGTTCCACCGCTCAGGAAGACGGGACCGTTAGGCGGCAGATGCAGGCCTCTCATCTCCAGGCCAACTCGCAGAGCCAGCTCCTGGTTTCGTCCACCTCGACCCTTTCCTGTCAACTCTACAGTGGGCTCACCTCCAGCTAGGAGACACGTGGCACCCCATCCTTCTGTGCGCCCTTCATCGAAGACCTGCATCGTACGGCACAGGTCCCAGCTCTCCACACCTACTTCGGGCCCCAACTTCAGCACCTCAGCGGCAATTTCGGGAGGTGGTTCCTCTGGAGAACACGCGAAGCGTGCCAGGAGGCCGTAAAGTCTGGAGACTAACTTCACATCACCGCACACTCCCAGCGACAGAACAACAGGGCGGAAACCCAGCTCTCGGGCACGGAGTCCTGCTTTCTTGAGTGCAATGCCATTGGAGCCAATCACAACGTTGAGAACATTTTCTGCCTTGTCCGTTTTATCCTTATCATCCTTCAGCCTGGGATTTGGTCTCCCAAGGACATCTTTTACTGATGCTGGTACAGAGTTCAACAGCTTGTACCGTTCAAGGATTGACAAAACCTCCTCAGGCCACACCTCACTGGAGACTGTGGGGCCGCTGGCTATCAAGTCCAGAGGATCTCCTATCACATCTGACAGTATCAGCGCGACCACCTGTGACGTGATCAGAAATTTAATTTTCTATAGTGGAATCGCTTCTTCTTAACAATGAACAGCAGTTCAAAACTAAAAGCATGTTACCTGTGCAGGATGAGCATAATGTGCAAGTCCTCCACCCTTTAGGAAAGAGAGTGCACGACGCACAGTGTTCAGCTCTTGAATTGTTGCACCAGCAGCTGCAAGTTTGCGGGTGACATCCAGTTTCTCTTGCAACACGATTGGTGGGATGGGGGCAGGTAATAGCGCAGAGCCTCCGCCTGAAAGGAATTGCACCACCTCTTGTTAAATGTGTATATTGTGTGAAGAATAAGCAACAAGAGAAGTGATGTATTTACCTGAAATCAGAACCAGTAGCAGGTCTTCCTCTGTCAGTTCACTGGCTAGTTGCTTGATTCCTTCTGCTGCTCTCTGGGCGTCAGTGTCCGGCAGGTTGTGCTTGGCTCCCTCCATTACTTTGATGCAACTGTTTTCTTTTAACAGCAGATGGCTGTGATGGAAATGAAAAGTTGTATTATGCTTTATCTTGTTTTCTGTGTCTTATGTTGTTTACCTTTAGAAGGTTATGCTTACTCTTTCCCATTCTGCTGTAACGTGTGCTGAATCCCATGCGGGACGCTTATGATTCCTTTCACCAAATGATCCCCCACAATCCTCTCTGCCTCCGCAGCCATACCCAGCACGGCTTTTCCGAAGCCCACCAAGTGCAGGTTGTGCTTGAGTGTGAATTTTTGACCACTGATAATGACGGAGTCCTCTTTGCACTCTATGCTCTGCCGGACCACAGCGTCTGGCTGCACCGCCTCCACTGCAGCTGCAAACACTTGCCGTGCCCTTGAGTCCATCGACATTTTGCACAGCGTAGGTTTCCTCCTACCCACGAGGGCCAGCAAAGGCTGAGGCCGCAACAGGGAAAGAAAACGTGCCATGAACAGATCACTGGCCTCGAACACAAACTGCCTGAGGGGGGAAAAACAGCAAATAGATCATAAAAAACACTTGAAATGTTGAGGAAAGGTGAACATTTCTACAGTTACTGATCATTTTTTGTTTGGTTTAAAGTCACTTTTAGCTCAAGTAGATGTGGAAGAAACAGAGATTTAACTATACATAAAATAATTCTTCATTTTACCCATCCTCCATAAATCAAAAATTTCCACAGCAGTAACTGATTGCATGGATGTAAAGTGTATTATGTAATGGCAATAATATTTAATTTATGTTAGTGGTCACTGCAGCCCAGCATGTGGCCAACAGCTCATTTCTGTCGTGTACCAGCTGACACCGAGCTCCAATCTGTTATATGCTCAGGTTTAACACATACATACACAGTGAACGCCATAGATCTTCTTTTATTATCTAGTTTGACAGTCATGACTGAAAAAGAAGAAAAGTAAGTAAATCTAGGAATACACAAGATTTACTTCTTTGAGGCTGTTGAAGTGCAGACACGGTTTAGACAAATACGAAAGTTTAAAACAGTATAAAACTTCGAAACTGAATCAATCTAGGACTAAATACGCACTCGTTTCAAACTGTTGACACGTGGCCACAGTTTAGAAAACAACAGCTTGTTTATGTGTGTCAGTATCGTTATGAAATAACAGATCCAGCTCCAGTACCGTGGCTCTATGTGTTCCACAGAAATCCCACATTTTAAACCACCGACAGAGGCTCGTTGTCCAGAACAATGGACCCGACATGTTGTTGGTTTTCTCTCTTTCTGTGTTTATCGCTGACTTTGGTGTTTACCGAGTTGTTTGTAGCAAGGGTTGCCAGGTCTGTGAGACAAAGGTAGCCAAACAGCAACTCAAAACCAGCCCAATACCAGAACTCAAAATATGCCCATAAAAATCCATATATGTTCCTTTTAAAGTCCAACAGCATTGCTATAATTGCAAAATGTACTGTAATATCAATAAAATAACACCATACATTTTATATATATATTTCCTGAAACAGTTTTTTATTCATATACTTACAGTAAATATGTAAGTAGGCTTACTGTACACCTTATTTCAAATTGGACACCATATCATGTTCATCTGGAACATTTTCATATTGTACTTACAATACCTGTAAATTAGCATATTATTTGTGTATCTGTGGGGCATGTGACATATATGGGTAGGCTATAATGCTGATCTGGCCTGGAGTCAGTTTGACAGGATTCGGGTATAAACATTAGTCATTCAAAGTGTTCATAAGCATTATTCATAATCTGTATGCAGTAGGTCTGCACAAGTCCAACCCGCGGAAACACTTAGAAAGTAGCCCAATTCCACGGGGAAATCCCGGACCTGGCAACACTGGATAATGCTAAACTACCCGGAAATCACTTCTTCTTCTTCGCCGCAATAAAAGTGATGTTTTTAAAGCGGTGAAGAAGCGGTGCTGCTTTATCTGATGGAAACGCATATACGTTATAACATATATATATATATATATTAATATAAGACCTTCTCCAGACAAACATGATGACAAATTCTGGTCTCATTCAAAATAAAATCGAAGAGGATGAAGGTAATACTCGGTTTTGACCCCTGCTATGAATTATTAGACACCTATATAGATAGATATTTCTCCAACATGCTCTTAAGGTAAAACAGAAGTTTTGTTGTAAATAAGAAAACAAATATTCGATAAAATTAAATTGTTAAATTATATAAATCTGTAAACTATGATATTAATAAAGAAAAGGATTGGGGATTTAAATTATGATATTTGAAGAACTTTCAATAGTAATATTTAGAGAATAAAGATGTGGTATCAGATCAGTACATATAGATTTGCATACTCTCTGATGCCTGACACAGCAGTTTCAACAGTATCAGAGAAAGGTCTGATGCTTGCACTGGAACATCTCCACTAATGAGGTGAGAGAAGATTATAAAGCAAATCAATCATCAACTTGAGTCAAACATGGAATAGAGGAATGCAGCCCCAAGATATCTGTATTGGCCATAAGAAAAATATACTTAAATAGTAATATCGTAATTCAATCTATGTTAATAGGCTGAAAAGAAGTGTACAGACCTTTTTCCTGGTGATTTTGGATGTACCAACCAAACCTTCACTTAGCTTGCCACAAATGACTGAACACATCCCATCAAACAGTGCTTTCTGAAGACTTGTGCAGCCTACCTGTGAAGCTTGTAAATGGAATTAAAGCTTGCGGATTTCACTGGACGTCTGATATGTTTGCTCCAACTCTGCAGTCAGGCAGCGGAGCAGAAATGTGAACAGACTCTGACTGGGGTTGTGTACCCTGTGTGTAATAATTGACTTGAAAGGACCACAGAACACATGAAGTGCTGTGGTCACTCGGCTGTGTTTTGCCTCTTTTAGTTTCACATTGTTTTGGGCCAATTACTAAGTGAGGAGAAAAAAAAGACAGCGATATCAGAAGGGAGTTCAGTACTGGTGTGTGATCACAGTGGTAAAATGCATGTGCACAGTGTCAGACAGACTTTGGATCAGTTCATGCTGAGGCACAGTTCAAAGGGGACACAGTGTAAAGCGGGTTCACGGTGAACTCGTGTGCACAGTGGATGTAGGTGTTTTTCTCAGAACTGTCAGGACACCTGCGCTCATGCTGTTGTAAAACTACACATGGTGCTCACTGAGGCCTTTCTAAGGTTTATGACAGCTGAGAGTCTGACTTTCATATGTGATAGGAGGTAACCAAGTGAAGTATATTCACTGTAATTCATTTATCAATGACAATTGATAAAGAATTTGGAGGTTCATTTTCTATTTTTGATTATTCCAAGTCAGGAACTTTTAGTTTGTTCGTTTGCCATCTGTGTTTGATGCACTTTCTTTAGTGTAATGTTGGATTCTGTTTTTATGTTGGATTCTGTTTTTATGTTGGATTCTGTTTCCACAACAGACGCAGGACGCGTTCACACTGTCTGTGATTCAAACGGCCACACAACTATCGCGATAACCAACAACATCGCGTGGTTTCTGGCCGATGCGCGCGTCAGGTGGTGAATATGCGCGTCACCGCCGTGTGGAGGGAAGGCGGTGCTTTTCCCTCCCGAGGATCCGGAGCGTTGCAGGCGGGTTTCGGTCTCTGTGTGTGGGCCACACTTCATGAAAACCATCGCTCTGCGCTCCTCCGCAGGTTCTTCATCCACAGGCTCCAGCAGAGTTGCCTGTGAGCAGGTTTAACGCCGCGAACGGAGGGTCTGCGGCCCCTCACTCCACACAGGCCACCATGAAGCTGACGGACAATGTGCTGCGGAGCTTCAGGGTCGCTAAGGTGTTCCGAGAAAACTCCGACAAAATCAACTGCTTCGATTTCAGCTCGAACGGAGAAACGATCATTTCCAGCAGCGACGACGACTCACTGGTCCTGTACGACTGTCAGGAGGGAAAGTAAGAGCGCCTCTGCCTCCATTTTACCGCTGTGTTTGACGCCAGCTAGCCGCTATGCTAACTAGCGAGGCCTGCTGCGCTGCGATCCCAGTCTGCAGCCAGTGTATGAAACGTTCATTACATGTAGTTTGAGCTCCTGCAGCACGAATCCTGCCTGTTCACGGTGTTCGATCCCCGTGTGCTGATAGAGATGTGTTTTAATGTGAACGCTAATCTGTTGAGAATCCTCACAACGTCTCTAACAATGAAATTAGCTCCTGATAGTAACTGAGCTGATTAAAAACAACTTGCATCAGTAGAACAGAGCAGCTTGAGTGCGAACAGGCAGATGGTCGATATCAATCTCACTGAGTGATTTTATTATTAAGACAAATAGAATCTAATGTCGCAGAAAAGAGCTGCAGCAGTAAATGAATTAAAATCCCTCCATCTTCAGTGATCACTTGATTTAGTCTCTTGTTAGTTGAAGCTTTTCAAACGTGATCATTTGCTGCCTTTGATATGTGGCAATCATCATTTTTACACTGATTAAATTGTTGTAAACTATCAATGTTTTTTCACCAATGGCATCTTCAGGATTTACCAGCTCGAATAAGAAATCATCTTCCAAAATTATCAAAGAAGCATTTAAACATTACTGATAAATTATACCTCAGTCTTAATTGCATTAAAGGTTCCATTTGTAAGAATGTGAAGCTATTTACATCTTAAAATCCACCACCATCCACCATTGAGAGGAAACTAGGGACAACACCAGCTGATGAAGAAGTGCCAAATCCTTTATAATCTCAAGTATAGTTAATATCAAACCATAATAACGGTGTATCTTGTTACCTCATCAACAGTCATGTATTGATGTAATACTTAAAGACAATGAGATTATTTGTCAAAACATTTGAGGTGATTTTCAATGCTTGTCTGCTCCTCTACTTAATGACAGACCCAAGAGGACTCTCTACAGTAAAAAGTACGGAGTGGATCTAATCAGGTACACACATGCTGCCAACACTGTGGTCTACAGTTCCAACAAAATTGATGGTAAGTTAACACTCAAATACATGTTGATAGTTATTGTTTGGATAATATGAATGATTTCAGTTTGTGTGACTTCCATAAATTTAGGAATTCATCAAAAATCTACCATCACAATGCTTTTGCACCCTGTACCTGTACTGATAGTGTGATGTGTTCATGAATAATAAGAAAAAAGAAACATATGTTTGCAAAATAAGTAGAGGTATTCAATTTGTATCATTGCAGACTTGTTGAAATGCTTCTTTGTAATGTGCAAGACATTAAAGTTGCATCACAGAATTGGATTAATCAAAATGTCATACGTTATCCCAATTCCATTCTGTCAGCTTCATGATATGTTTTACTGGTTGTACTGAGGAGACATTGATGCATACAGGTCGTCTGACCCTGGGGGGAAGCATCTGGATCTCTGATGCGACACTACTCACTTTGGTCTGAGGTAGTTGTTTGTACAGTTTGAGGGTCTGTGATTCTGCCCCATACAGGAGCTAACTGTACAAGTGACTGCCTTGCCCACGGTTGAGTCTATTCATCACACCTGCTCACCATTGACTTCATGTTTTTGACGACAGCCTCATTCTTACCTCTGCCTGTCACGTTTAATATGTGACATGACTTTTCTTCCTCCTCAGATACTATTCGATACCTGTCCCTTCACGACAACAAATACATCCGCTACTTTCCTGGGCATAACAAAAGGTGAGGATTGGATGTTTGCCTGTCCTATTTTCTTCTCTACCTTGGTTTGGTTGTATTAAGGTCCTATGTTCTACTTTTTCCTTTTTTTTTGTTATTGCCAGAGTGACGTCTCTCTCCATGTCTCCTGTGGACGATACGTTTATATCTGGTTCATTAGATAAAACTATTCGACTCTGGGATCTGCGGTCGCCTAACTGCCAGGTTGTAATTTGGTGAAAGTCTACTGGTATTTCTGGTAAATTCTTTATAGGGATACAGCTGTTACTGACATTCTCCTGTTTTCTGTCAACTGTAGGGTCTGATGCACCTGCAGGGGAAACCAGTTTGCTCCTTTGACCCAGAGGGTCTCATTTTTGCTGCAGGAATAAATTCAGAGATGGTTAAACTTTATGACCTGCGCTCATTTGACAAGGCAAGATTGGTTTATGTGTGTGTGAGATCATTAATGATGACATTTATCTAAAATTAGGAGCTAAACTGTCATTATCATGCTTGTCAACAGGGTCCCTTTGCAACCTTCAAGCTTCAGTATGATCGGACATGCGAGTGGACAGGACTCAAATTTAGCAACGATGGAAAACTAATTCTTCTTTCAACTAACGGCGCCGCTCTTCGTGTCTTAGATGCCTTTAAGGGCGCTGTGCTACACTCCTTTGGGGTAAGAGACAACTCATGCTTGATGTGTGGAAGTATAAATAATTGAAACCAAAACACAGGCAGATGCAAATCTAAATCACAGCCAGGACACTGACTTAGAATTACATTCATTTTTTAAAGAGAGAGGATCAGAAAAGTTAATATACAGCTCTGTGTACCATGGTGTTCTTTGTTGCTGTTTCACTGATCTCTGAATAATTGCTCATGCGTTTACCCACAGGGCTACAACAACAGTAAATGTGTAACATTAGAGGCATCGTTCACTCCTGACTCTCAGTTCGTTATGATCGGTAAGTTAAGATTGCCATTTCTCTCCCGTTGTTAACTCTGTGTTGGAATTCGTTTTATACCAAGTCTTGAATGGTCTAATATCCAATAATCTGAATGTTGTCTTAAAATGTCTTTTGACAGGTATTAAAATGGTTACCTTTTACAAAATGCATTAATTTCATTATTGCCTTTGAATGTTATTGATCACACAGTAACCAAACCAACATGCAACCAATAACCAGTAATGCAAACTGTGCAGCCTGGCCAGAATTTATCAGAGCACATGCAAGTGAAATAGTTTCTTAGATTTAACATGAGATCTGGCTTTAGAACAGCACATTTGTTTGGTTAACCCTGTTGAAATAGACGATAGTCATGTTCCTGTTGAATATAAATAAATTCACTCCTTTTTATCCTTTTTTTTTTAAAACCTTTTTGCCAGTCTAGAAATGAAATGGAATTAAATTGCCTTCATTATTGTGTCAAAGAGTTGTAAGAAAGTCTTTAATTTAACTCCTAGGAAACCTGATTAGTTACATGATCGTCATCACTGGTTCTGCTTTCGTCAAATATTTTAATCGTCCGTGTTTCTCAGGGTCAGAGGACGGAAAGATCCACGTGTGGAACGCAGAGAGCGGTATGAAGGTGGCTCTATTAGATGGGAAGCACACAGGACCAATCACATGCTTACAGTTCAACCCCAAGTTCATGACATTTGCAAGTGCCTGTTCCAACATGGTGAGTGAACTGAGAGAGTTAAGTTTCCAATGATTGCTTCCAAAGTGTGTCAGGCAGATAGTCATGTTTCATATGTTACAACTGCCTGAGTGACTTTAAAAGTTATAACATGAAATTAGAAGTCTTGTGTGTGAGTGACGTGTATTTGAATTGATCTTTAAATTAACTTTCAGGCGTTCTGGTTGCCGACCATTGACGACTGAGAAGTGAAGGGTGAAGATGGATGTGACCAGCAGGGGTCAGCACAACCAGCTCTATGTGAATATCACAGGGACTTGTGGAAAATCACATTCAAATTGTAAATAAGTTGTTTT